TCTTTCTTTCTTCTTTCAAGATTTTATTTTTTTATTTGAAAGAGAGAGACAGCGAGAGAGGGAACACAAGCCGGGGGAGCAGGAGAGGGAGAAGCAGGCTCCCTGCTCAGCAGGGAGCCCAACATGGGGCTCGATCCCAGGACCCTGGGATCATCACCTGTGCCGAAGGCAGACACCTAATGACTGAGCCACCCAGGCACCCCTACTATGGTGCTTTTCTGAGCTGTCTTGAAGAGTACAAAAACAAAGAGAAACATCAGAACCAACTCCAGCCCAGCATGACAGGTTAAGGGACGGCAGTTTGGAATCGGTGTGGATTTTGGACTTTTCATAGGAATTGTTTTCTGGCCCAATTCAGGGAAATACTGTTTCCACCATACAGGGCATAACTGGACTCATTGTATAACCTCTCACTTTTCATATAACATGATAAACACATTGTAAACAAACTGTTCTGTGACAAGCAGCTTTCGAAACACACACACATAAAAAGATGAAAAAAATTAAGCATATTTTCTTCTCTAGAAAATTCCTATCACATCTAACAGCTGCTGGTTACTATGTTGTTTGAGGGGGTTGTCCCCTATATCTAAAACTGAAAGGAAAAAGCTATTATAGATAAACTGTGAAAAAATTACTAAAGCCCAAAGAATCAGTGGAATGTTTAAATATGAGTATATTTAATTTTGGAGAAATGGGACCAATTTCAAACTTCAGTAGAAGCTTTTGTTTTCACTTTTCTTCAGAATTTTTCCCTCTTCCTTATTGAACACAAGGTATTGATTATTAAACATTTATTTGCTTTTCATCAAACCCCTCCAAAAGTAGAGTCAAAGAGTTTGCCTTTTGCCAAACATAAGCAGGTGTCGTTAAGTCAAATGCATATAGAGATAGCTCAGCTTTTTCTGTTCTATCTTATGGAACATTCCTTTATAATTGAGTGTGCTTTTAATTCCCCTGATTAGAGTGCAACATTACCCAAATTGAAAGGAGAGAGATTAAATAGCAGCATGTCTGAGCTAGATGAATTATCTGCTGATGAGAATAGAATGACAAGCGATTGCCACGCTCTTCTCATCTTTATTTGTCCAATTATCTTCACTTGTTTAATTATCCTCGCTAGAAAATGAGGCCAATAAAATTTTCACGACAGAAATTTGTACCATTTTAGTACAGCTTATATTGATAAACCCAGCCAAATAAAATAATCAGGACACAACAATGTCAACATTTAGAAAGTTTTATAATGTTGCTTTGTTAATACTTAGCACACGGATTGCCAGAGCCATCTGAGGGATGGTGAATCTGGGGCAATCGTTAAACAAAAGCCTTGAAAGAGGTCGTGCTCCATATTTTTGCCTTTTCCCCTTCCCTCTGGCTCTAATAATACCTCGAGGCTATAAACTCCTGAGAAATGAAACCCCAAGTTGCCCAGCAGACAGAATGAGAGAAGAATGCGACCCTGCCCCCTTGTGCTAAGGAAGCACGCGAGGCTTCGGTGTAATTCAGCAACGCAGAGTGGATGCTACCGCACTGCACGGGGCTTCTTGAGGGCAGAGAACGTGGGGACTCCTCCTTCTTCATAACCCCAGTGCCTAGAACGGCGCCTGTCACATTGTAGGCAAACAATTCAGTTTCGGCGAAAGTGAATACATGTCGGATGAATTCTATTTCTTATTCTATATTATAGTACTCAAGTCTTCTCTTTTGACACCCTTCCTCCATCAAGAAAGGTTTACTTTATGTCAACTCTCTGGTACAGAATCAGACTGCTGGAAAGTAGGGCAGTTGTAAGAAAGTGCACGGTGTGATGTATTTCTGTGAGAAGCCCAGTTCATTAGGGCTGATGTTTCTGAGTAGATCAGACGGTCTAACTAGGGGTCTCTGCAGGCGGTAGTAATAACTACACGAGATTGGATAAAATATGAACCTCTTTCACTCTTGAGGTTTTTATTTGCATACTCCAAAGGAGGGCTGGTCTTCAAATAAAATGACGCAAAATCAATCAATTATTGAAAACATTAATGTACCATTGTGGTAGAGAAGGGATGAATTTGTTCTACAAGACTCTGGGACCAGAAAAGGTATATTGTTTTATTCAGGTAAATAAAATTAATTATGGCTTCATGCCTTCGTTTGTCAAGGTTGTGTGAAATTCAATTCTGAGTATGTTCTGGGAGGCCCCTCCACCTCCCTAGAGGGAGTGCAAGTAAATGCAAATATATGTGTATTCTTATTTCTTTACCTGGACTGCCTTATGCAAAAGGCAGTATACTTTATGCACACTTATACACCGTGTTTTTTAAAAAATGTTAACATTTCCACACCAATGTACAGAGCATGTCCTTATTCCTCATTAGAGCCTTCATGGTATTCCATTTGGTGGCAGTCCCAGGGCTCCAGGAACAAGACTCCTCTTGTTTTCAAATGTTCACTACTGCAGATGATGCCTCACTGTATGTCGCGTGGAAATATCCTTGTGAACATACCAATGTATCCACAGAATCAATTCTTTTTTTTTTTTAAAGATTTTATTTATTTATTTGACAGAGAGACACAGCGAGAGAGGGAACACAAGCAGGGCGAGTGGGAGAGGGAAAAGCAGGCCCCCCTGCTGAGCAGGGAGCCCAATGTGGGGCTCGATCCCAGGACCCTGGGATCATGACCCAAGCCGAAGGCAGACGCTTAACGACTGAGGCACCCAGGTGCCCCCACACTTGTAATTCTTGTAAGTGTTTCCCCCATGCCCCCCCAACGTGTACTCCCCCACACTCTTCCTCCGCTGTGTAGGAGAGTCTGGCTTTCCGCAGGGAGATTGGAAACTATGGAGTCAGTTTCTTCCACAGTGATACAAAATCTTTTACTTTTCTGTTTTTTTTTTTTCTGTCTGCATATGTTTGTTCTTAATATCCTTTTAAGTCTCTTTCTGTATTTGTGGTCATGAGAACATCCTTTGCGTTCCTGATATTGTTTCCTCATGCCTCTCTCTATTCTTAATCCATTCAGCGAGACCGGGCTTCTCAACCTTGTCATGTTGGGTCAGATGATTCTTTGCTTTGGGGGTGATCCTGTGCACAGTAGAGTGGTTGGTGGCATCTCTGGCCTGGACTCAGTACATGCCCATAGCGCCCCCTACCCCAGGTTGTATTTCCAATTACAGTTTGCACACTTTGCCAAATGAGAAAGAAAGGTTGGCGAGCAGGGAGCAAAACTGTTCTCGGTGGCAAACCACTGATACTAGAAGATTGGCAGTATTAGGCCTTCTTGAAGAATGAACTTTGGTTTTGTTAATTCCATTTTTCCTTTCTGCTGCTCTTCTTACCTTTGTGTTTTTTTTTCCTCTTTAGATTGATTGATATTTATTTTCCAACTTTTTATGATTGATATTTTACCCTTCCGTTTTCACCCCTTCTTTTTTTTCTAACATAAGCGTTCAAGGCTTTCCATTTACCTACAGTTGACAGGAAGTGGAATTATAGTTCGGATTTAGCTTTCAGGTTTTTTTTTTTAAGATTTTATTTATGTATTTGACAGAGTGAGACACAGCGAGAGAGGGAACACAAGCAGGGAGAGGGAGTGGGAGAGGGAGAAGCAGGCTTCCTGCCGAGGAGGGAGCCCGATGCGGTGCTCGATCCCAGGACCCTGGGATCATGACCTGAGCCGAAGGCAGACTCTTAATGATTGAGCCACCCAGGCGCCCCTAGCTTTCAGTTTTGACTTTAATTATTTCCTCCTTTATCCATGGGTTACTTAAAAATATGTTTTATCATTTCCAAATTTATGGATTTTTAAACGTATTTCTTATTGAAAATTGATTTCTAACTTAGTTTCATTGTCAAGGAATATGTGTAATTCTGATGCTTTGAGTATATTGAGACTTATTTATGGCTTAGGATGTGGTCAATAATTTTCATAAAGGTTCCATGTGTTCTTGAAAGTAATGTCCAGTTGCTGAATACAGTCTTCTATACAAGCCCTTTATCCAGTTCCTCACAAACATTTTCTGATCATGTCTTACTGGGGTAAATGAATGAGGTTGGTTGTGGGGTTGGGTGAGACAGATCTGTCAGGGTGGAGACCCCCAGCCCGCTGTCAGCTCTCTCTAGAACAGGGGCAGTGAGGTCCGGTCTGACTTGTAACCCTTTCACAATATAACAGTTTGCCAGAGCACAGAGGCTTACAAGTTTTGCATTAGGTCAATATTGACTATGTTTTCCAAATCTTTCAAAGCCTTACTGATTCTTTTGTGTATTAATCTATTAATTCCGGACAAAGTTGTGTTTAAGTCTATTATTTTTATACTTTCTCTCTGTAGTTCTGTAAATTTTGGCTTTATAGATGGTATTACGTACATACAAATTTGAATTCTTAAATATTCCTAGTTAATGTTAACTTCATTAATTGCAGTGACCCTTTTATCTCTAGTATTGCTTTCTGTTTTCATGTCCATTTGCCTAACATTAGTATAACTTTCTTTTATATTATTTGCTTATTATATTTTTTTCATCCTTTTATTTTCAACTTTTGTATCCTTATATTTTAGACATACTACTGGTAGGCAGCAGAGAGGTGGGCTATTCGTCCATTTTCACAGTATTTGTGAAATATTGTTCCTGATAAGTTGATAGACTCACCTCT